GCTTCTCAAGGAACTTTCCAGTGAGCTTTCTGTACCTTTGTCGATGCTCTTTCAAACGCCATTTGACACTGGAACACTTCCTATCGATTGGAAGCTGACGCATATTACTCCGCTACACAAAGGAGGTAACAGGGCAGCGATGACAAATTACCGGCCCATAAGCTTGACATGCATTCTCTGCAAAGTTATGAAAAGGATCATAAAGAGTGAACCGATGCGATTCCTGGAAGTTCACGGCCTGCTATCGAAATGCCAACATGGGTTCCGAAAAGGAAGATCCTGCACGACAAACTTGCTGCAATCTCTCCAGAGCTGGACCCGAGCTCTCGACGACAGACACGAGGTCCACATAGCCTTCATCGACTTCCAGAAGGCGTTCGACACTGTGTCACACCAGAGGCTCTTACATAAACTTAAAAAATAGGGATCAGTGGCAACTTCCTTAAATGCATTGAAAACTTCCTTTTGGATCGACACCAGGTTGTCTGCATCGGTCGGCGAAAATCAGACCCTGCTGTGGTCGAGAATATTGCCCCCCAGGGTTTAGAACTGGGACCCATTTTGTTCCTTATATACGTGGACGATGCCACAAGAGATTAAGACTGCGAAGTAGCAATGTTTGCCGACGACATAAAGATATGGAGTGTAATTCGTGGTCCTGCCGACGAAGACAGACTGCATATGAACCTGAATCGGTTGGAGGAGTGGTCAAACCGTTGGCTCCTGCGGTTCAACGTTGCCAAATGTAGCATACTTCGCCTAGGCCAGGACCAACCTCCGAGGGCACCCGTTAAAACTGCGCACTCAGCATGCAAGTTTGGATGTACGGAATTTCTCCTTCTCTGTTCGAGTGGTCAAACCATGGAATGCCCTTCCCGCAGATGTTCTGATGTCACCATCTATACAAAGTTTTAAAAGGAATCTTGGCATATTTATGCTCCAAAATGACCAGTAGCGATGATAAGTAGAGCTTACCCCCTGCAACTCGTTCTCTTTTTGTTCTACCATTATGGGCGTGTTTGAACTATTTCAGCCCAGAACATTTATCTGTATACCACACATTTTTACGTTGCAAATAGGGTACTCAAAAGCTTACGCCTATTTCCTTCAATAAACTGAACTGAACTGAAAAAAACTTCAAAAATAGGGACATTAGAATGCGCCTTTACTACATGTACGTTAGACCTGGCCATGAATACTGTTCGTTTTTATTAAGCTTTATGCGTGCTACTGAGCGGAAGCAAATAGGATCCGTTCAGCACTTTTGACTAAGACAGTTTTAACCCCGGAACACCGACATTTGTCTTACGATGAACGTCGCCTGCTTACGGGCTTTCATCCTTTATGGTTCCGTAGATCACAAAAGGGTCTATTTTTCCTATTTAAACTCTTATATTATCACATATTTAACCCACTCACTTCTTTAGGACATCATATCCACCCACGACGTACCAGTCACCGTGAGGTCTTCATATTTCTGCCTCTGGCACGTACTGTTAAATATCGTCGGTTCTATTCTGTAAATGCAATTGCTATTTGGAGTAAACTACCCATGAGTGCGAAAACTCTGCAAAATATGCTATATTTAAGAGAACTATTACTCGATTTTTGCATTCAGAAAAGCTCTCACAAATTTTGGGTTCTGAATCCACTGATCGACTGTACCGTAGCGATGGCGTTTGTGGTCTCTGAACACTATGGCCAGTCTCACCAGGGACAATTTCTTCGGCCAACAGCGACAGCTGTTCTTGGGCGCTTCTGTTTGGACTAGCCCCAACTTCATGAAAGAAATTGGCGACTGATAATATCCGATACCGTGCAACCCTTCCCTTCTTGACGGTCAACTGTTCCTAGGTAAGTCAATCCAATTCCTTTGACTTCCAGCCGAGACTTGGTTTATAACTCTTACATTCTTACCGCTACCTACCCTCCCCCACCATCCTCTATCTTCCTTCTAGGCTCTCTCCTCCTCCCCTGCTTTCACAATTTAACTGCCAAAAAGCCTATCCCTGTTCTAACTCCCCTAGAGTTTCAATGCGCGAAAACTAAATCCCCACATCCTTTAGGTCCCATGTTCAGCCTCTTCTTGCTGATTCCTCCTACGTCAATAACTCTAGACTAACTGGTACTTATTCTCCAAACACCATTAATTCACAGTTCACATATCCGCCTTCGAATGTTGTTTTCTAGATTCCGTCGACAATAGCTTTGCTGTTTGAAACACATTAGATATTATATTATTGAATGTCAGGTCTGCTAATAACAAAATGGCCAAATCAGAGCCATTACTCTCGAAATGACGCCTGATATTATATGTGTAGCAGAATCTTGGACTCATTCTCTAATTCCTGACACTGCTTTCCTCATAGATGACTTCGATTTTTACCGTCAAGACCGCATGACTAGGCGTGGGGGCGGTTGTCTTCTTTATCTTAAATCCTACCTAAAGCACTCTCCCTATTACACGGATGTTTCCTCATTCACGGGAAACTTCTGCTTTGCATATGTTATTCTCTCGTCGCAAAGAAAGGCAATTGTTTTTTGTATGTACAATCCCCAAATTCTTCAACCAGTAATGATTCACACCTCTGTGTAATTTTGAAATCAATTTCGGAAGCTGTCAGAGAGGGCCAGAGAGTAAATTGTCTTGATCTAGTTTTTACTAAAGACTTCTCAAATATTGACGAAGTGTATTTCGATGCACCTCTCGGGAATAGAGACCATACTACGCTACTATGGGATTACTCACTCTTCTCTCAGCGTCAGAAGAGAACAGACGGCCAACCTAATATATGGAAGGTAGCATTTGGCACGATGAAGAGCGAATTGATGTCTGTTAATTGGGATCAATTGCTCAGGGGAGATCCGGAGGACGACTGGAGATCTTATAATACGATTTCACTCGATCTAATTCGGCGCTGTTGTCCACCTAAAGTACAAAAAGCAACTAGTCGACCTGCTTGGATAACTAGGGTCCTAGATAGGCCGTTACGGAAGAAAAGTAAAAGATGGAAAATATTCAGGGAAACTGCGTCCCCAGCGCATTTCGAAGAATTTAGTCGTAAACGAAATGCAATCACAAAATGTATCCGTCAGACAGGAGAGAAGTATGAATCGAAAATTATCCGACAGGCTGAACAGAAGCCCAAGATTTTATTTTACAATCTTAACAGCAGACTGAAAAACAAGGACCCGACCGCAGTGCTGAAGGATGATTATGGTGTGGAAATCATTGAGAACGGCGGGAAAGCAGAACACTCAGGACGGTATTTTGCCTCGGTTTTTACCAGAGACACAGAGTTTCGCAGTCACAGTGCCGGCAATGCTGTTGAGACCGCTGGTCCCGTGCTTGACTCCATATTCTTCCCGACAGCTGTTGTGAAAGGGAGCTGCAATATCTCAAAGAAGCCAAGTCCTCGGGCCAGACAATATACCGGCCAAATTCTTGAAAAAATTGGCGAGAGAAAACTACAAACCACTGGCACACATCCTCCTCTCGTCATTCGAATTCGAGGCTGCTATCGGAATGGAAGACAGAAAATATCTTCCCGATATACAAGGGTGGGGCTCGCGCTAATGCTAACAATTACCGGCCTGTTAGTCTCACCTGTATCTGCTGTAAAATAATGGAAGCTATAGTTAAAAAAGCAACAATGAAGTTCCTGGAGCAGAACCACTTACTCTCAGACCTGCAGCACGGCTTCAGACAGAACCGCTCGTGCCTTTCCAGCCTATTGCTCTCGACGGAGCAGTGGACTCGTGCATTGGACGAGGATGGTAGAGTCAATGTCATTTACACGGACTTCAAGAAGGCATTCGACAGCATGCCACACAAGCGGCTTATCAACGAACTTTCTGAAATTGGGATAAGAGGAAGGTTGCTGATATGGTTAACAGATTTTCTTACAGAGGGATCACAAACCGTGTGCATTGAGGCCTCAATGCCAACTCCAACCCCCGTTCTAAGTGGTGTACCCCAGGGTTCCGTCTCAGGGCCGTTGCTATTCCTGGTTTACATTAATGACTGCGTCGGCGACCTGGGATGCAGCGCCATCATGTTTGCTGACGATGGTAAGCTGTGGAGAACCATCAGATCTGACGCAGGCAGGTACGCGCTTCAAGACAGTTTTAACCGCCTGAACAGTTGGGCAGCCCGTTGGCTGCTTAATTTTAATGTGGACAAATATGTAGTCCTGAGACTCCGCACCAAAAAGACCACTAAGGAGGACAATCTCTTTCAATACGTCCTGAGTGATCAGCCCCTTTCAAATGTTATGGAACAGAAGGACCTTTGTGTCCTAATGACCTCCTCGCTGGAATCATCATCACAGTGTCAAAGGGCGGTCAAAAGTTTGATAAGGGTGTTATTTGTGCAGATTGAGTAAGAGCTGTTCGGTAAAACCTATGGGGCATTCGTCCAGTCTCACTTAGAGTATGCAGTCCAGTCCTGGCGACCGTGGTTGAAGAAAGACTATCAACGACTGGAAAGAGTGCAGGCGATGGCTACGAAGATGGTCAAGAATCTTAATCATCTGTCTTACGAAACAAGGCTGATCGAACTAAATCTGTTTCCTCCCAACTACAGGCCACTGCGCGGCGAACTCATTCTAACCTACAGGATTGTCAGAGGCCGTGAGCGCTCCCTAGATTTTGACGAATTCTTCGAATTGTCCAGGACTGACCGTTTGCGTGGTCATCCATTCAAACTGCAGAGGAAGCTGGCTCATTCGGACGTCCGACAGAACGCCTTCCCTCAGGGTCATTGGGGCATGGAACGGATTGCCTGATGCGGTGGATCTTTTCGAAACTGTTGAATCCTTTTCAGTTCAGTTCAGTTCAGTTCAGTTTATTGAGGGAAATAGGCGTAAGCCTTTGAGTACCCTATTTGCAACGTAAAAAATGTGTGGTGTACAGATAGATGTTCTGGGCTGAAATAGTTCGAACACGCCCATAATGGTGGGACAAAATGAGAAGGAGTTACAGGGGGTGAGCTCGACTTCTCAACGCTCTTGGTCATTTCGGAACATAAATATGTCCAGATTCTTCTTAAAAATTTGTACAGATGGTGACATCACAACATCTGCGGGAAGCTCATTCCACGGTTTGACCACCCGAACCGAGAAGGAGAACTTCCGCACATCCAGCCGTGCCTGCTGAGTGCGCAGTTTTAACGGGTGACCTCGGAGGTTGGTCGTGGTAGCAAATTCAAAAAAGTCCTCGAAGGCCAGACTGCAATCCAACCTCGTTACAATGCGGAAGGCTTGCAAGAGATCTCCGCGAAGTTGCCTGTAACTCAAAGGAAAGAGGTTCAGATTTACTAGGCGGGTCGCAAAAGGAAAGGAGCTTTGACCCCTGACCATCTTTGTGGCTCTCCTCTGGACTCTTTCGAGGCAGTTTTGATCCACAACACCCCACGGCCTCCAAGCTTGTATGCCGTACTCTAAATGCGGCCGAACGAATGTTCCGAATGTCTTAGAGAAGGCTTCTTCGTCAAAGTCCATAAACGCACGCTTGATGGCGAACAGTACGGACATTGCACTTTTTGCCACCCTCGAACAGTGGGCAGATGGTTTTAGGGAACTCGTCGTAAGCACACCGAGGTCCTTTTGGGCTTCGACCTCTTGTAGGACTGCACCGCCCAGAAAGTAGCCTCTTGTGCTGGCGGATCTGGCTGTGTTGCCTAGGCGAAGTATGCTACATTTGGCAACGTTGAACCGCAGGAGCCAACCGTTTGACCACTCCTCCAACCGATTCAGGTTCATCTGCAGTCTGTCTTCATCTGCAGGACCACGAATTACACTCCATATCTTCATGTCGTCCGCAAACATTGCTACTTCACAGTCCAAATTTCTTGCGGCATCATCCACGTAGATAAGGAACAAAATGGGTCCCAGTACTGAACCCTGGGGGACACCACTTTCGACCATAGCCGGATCTGATTTTCCCCGACCGACGCACACAACCTGGTGTCGACCCACAAGGAAGTCTTCGATCCATTTAAGGAAGTTGCCACCGATCCCTATTCTTTTCAGCTTATGTAAGAGCCTTTGGTGTGGCACAGTGTCGAAAGCCTTCTGAAGGTCGATGAAGGCTATGTGGACCGCGTGCCTGTCGTCGAGGGCTTGGGTCCAGCTCTGGAGAGATTGCAGCAGCTTTGTCGTGCAGGATCTTCCTTTTCGGAACCCATGTTGGCATTTCGATAGCAGGCCGTGAACTTCCAGGAATTGCATTAGTTCACTCTTTATGATCCTTTCCATCACTTTGCAGAGAATGCATGTCAAGCTTATGGGCCGGTAATTTGTCGTCGCTGCCCTGTTACCTCCTTTGTGTAGCGGAGTAATATGCGCCAGCTTCCAATCGACAGGAAGTGTTCCAGTGTCAAATGACGTTTGAAAGAGCATCGACAAAGGCGCAGAGAGCTCACGGGCAAGTTCCTTGAGAAGCTCGGATGGAATCTCGTCTGGTCCTGGCGACTTCGATTCGTTCAATGCCTCTAATTCTCTTCGGACAATGCCTTCTGAGAAGAGTATATCACTGACGCTTGGAGTCGGCAGTTCTTCTGTGGAGGGAGGAAGGAACCTTGCCTCGTTTGTATAGACTGATTGGAAAAACCGTGAAAAATACGCAGCTTTATCCCTACTATCAGCGATCTCAACGCCATCAGTAGTCTTTATCAAGGGGATTTGATGCCTGTTCCTTGTAGTTCGTCGGAGGTAGCTGTAGAGCAATTTCGGGTTCTGCGTTGCTTTTTGTAGCAAGTTCTTCTCGAATTCCCGCCGCGTCTGAATTATCAGCTTCCTCAGTTTGTTCCTCTGTATCTTGTAGGTGTTGAAGCATTCAGCTTGTCTAGTGACGCAGTATTTTCTCCACAATTTGTGCTTGCTGTTGATTTCTTTCTTGAGATTGCTATTTAGCCACCCAGGGCGTTTGTTCAGTCTTACACTAGTCAGTGGGCAGTGGTTGTTGATGAGCTGCAGAAGGACATTCTTGAACAGCTCCCAGTCATCGTTGGCACTTCCCGTAAACAAAGGGCCCCGTCAAGACCGGATAAGTCTGCCCTCATCTGATTGAAATCGCCCCGCCAAACATTACGCCTTTTGTGGTCTGGAGTGTGTGAAATGGAGAATAACGAATAATCCCACATAAGCAGTACGTGGTCACTTCGGCCAAGGGGCGGCATGGAGGCGATCTCGTCTATGCTGTCTGGTGTTTTCGGAAACACCAGATCCAGGCAGTTTGCCCTTTGTCCTTCACGTGTTCTCGTTGGGAACAGTACATGTTGTGTGAGGCACGCATTTAATGTCTTGCTTAACAGGCGGTAATCGAATGCCGATTTTGGACCTGACGCTTGGAGGGTATTCCAGTTTGTTCCTGGTGCGTTGAAGTCGCCCATGATCATGATGTTAGGTCGACTGGAAAATTTCTCCAACTGCTCCAATAGTTGAGTGTCGGCGATTCGGTCTGTCCGAGGTGGTCGGTAGACAGTGAGGACATCGAGACACGGGGAACCGGTAGCCTTGATGGTCAACCAGATAGCTTCCGTACTGCACGCAAACTTGGTGGTGTTATCCGACACTGCCAGACCGTCATTCACATACACAACGATAACACCACCCTGACGATGTTACCTGGCCCTCCGATAAATTTGGTATCCAGGCAAGGCTACTTCTTTATCGCTAATATTCCCGGACAGCCAGGTCTAAGTTACTGCTAAAACATCTGGAGACAGCTCAACAAGGCAAAGTTTTAGTTCGTCTAGTTTCGATAGGAGGCTTTGGGCATTCGTGTACAATCACCTCAGTTTAGCACCAGCCGAATTTCCCGTTGCATTTGTTACTGCTGTGAGCATTAATCCGTTATCGCGGACGTCGTGTTCTCTAGGCTCTTCCGTTACCTGATTGGTTCCATTTACATGCCTTGTTTCAGTCAGATCACTGGACGCTACGGGC